CCCGAAGCAGATAGTTACATAGATAGATAGATATACACGGATAGATATGTACATACTGCATAGGCCTATATATGCACACACACACATACACACACACACACACACACACACACACACACACACACACACACACACACACACACACACACACACACACATATATATATATACATATATATATACATAAATATATATATACGGTATATAATATGTATATATACAAAATATATATAATATATATATATATATATATATATATATATATATATATATATATATAATATATATATATATATATATATATATATATATATATATGTATATATACATAATATATATAATATATATATACACAATGCACACAGACAGACAGATAGATATATAGATATAGATATCAATTGATTTACTTTCTCATTTGCAAAAATTATATTAATAATGCCAATGCTGACAGTTATATAATGGCAAGTTTTGATATTATCAATCTATTCAGAAATGTCCCTCTTGTTGAAACAAATGCATTCATCACTGACTCTGTTTAACTACAGCACTCACATAAATGGCTTAACTAAGGTACAATTTAAGAAATTGCTGGAAATTGCCATTAAAAATATAACTTTCTCCTTTGATGGCAAATTATATAAACACGTTGCTGGGTAGTCCCTTAGGACCAACATTTGCTAATATATTTATGTGTTTTCATGAAAAGAGATGTCTCAGAAGAAACATACATCCACAGGCCTCACCACGAAGTCTGATCCTTTCATTCTTTTGTTCAAAACTAATTTGATAAATACTCTTACCAATAGACCATACGAAATATCAACGTCATTTCATTCCTAAGTACAAAACTAATTTGATAAATACTCTTATCAATAGAGCATACGAAAAATCAACGTCATTTCAAATATTCATCATAAAAACCGATTCTATCATTGACACCCTTAGAAGGAATGGTTTTCCATTGTTTGTCATGCAGAGTCTATCATACAACCCTTAACAATATTCTTTTAAGAAGAGAACCAGTGCAACTTGCCGCCAAAGATATAATTTACGTAAACCTTCCATACACAGACCCCATGAGTTATACTATTTGAAGAAAATTACTAAACTTCATAAACTTTCAACTGTAGATTTTAAAGATCATTTTCACTTCAACAACCCCAGATGACCACTACTTCAAAGACAATATTCCTAAAATATTTATATTTTATATTTATTACTTCTCTCTATAAAGTTGCATGATTTTTAACTTAAGAACGTATTGGTTTAAACCTTCCTAGTTTTATGCTGTGTTACTATTACAGCTAACTACTGATAATGGGTGATGTATTTTCACCCAAAACGTCTGAAAAAATGCTGTTCCCGATAAGTCTTATCTATCTATCTACCTATACATATGCAAGCAATATATATGTTCTTCATGAATGTATACTGAAATGAGAGTCATTAGTATACGTCAGTTATTGTAATTTCTGTAATTTTCAATAATACATCAGAAAGAACTGTATGGGAAATTGTCGGGCGGCAAAGACCTCCCGAAAACTTTACCGAAAAGTGTGGTGACAGATAGTAGGGAAAGGTAGTCGGGAGCTCTATGAATATCAGGTTGTTATTGACAAACCCGAAAGTCGGGTTCGAAGCGACTATAAATGTGGCTGTTTGCTACTGCTTGTTTCATTCCCTCTCGAGCGCTAATCACTCATACCTGTCATCGGCGTCGTGGCAGGAGGTGGCGGCGGCGGGGACACCGGTCGGGTGGAAGGGGAAGGAACCACCACGAGGGGCTCGGGCTGCTGGAGGAAGAAATACTGCGGCTGCCCTGTGCCTTCGAGTGTCACTGTGCCCGGCAAGGTTGGCATCTCGAGCCGCTGCAATACTTCGCCGTTCCTCTGAAAACGAGACACGAAAATGAGCTATTTCACTGTATATGGCATAAAATATGTATGCATGTAGAAAAAAATATGAATAAGAAAGGACATCTTCAACGCGAAAGAGATGCCTTTGACTGGTTTCAACTTAACCGGATTTGATGTGGTTCAAATGAAGATATAGTCGAAATCGGTCAAAAACTCTGGAACCGCTAAGATTTTCATTCTCACTTTTTTCTATTTTTTGACATAAACACTGTTCTTGCATGCATGTATCTTCTCCAATTAATTCATTTATTAAATCAATTGATCAGTCACTGAGCTAGCCTATCTAGCTGTGTGTGTGTGTGTTGTGTTGTGTTGTGTTGTGTTGTGCTGTGCTGTGCTGTGCTGTGCTGTGCTGTGCTGTGCTGTGTTGTGTGTGTGTGTGTGTGTGTGTGTGTGTGTGTCTGTGTGTCTGTGTGTGTGTGTGCGCGTGTGTGTGTGTGTGAGGAGGGTAGGTGTTTGTATATGCGTGTTCGTAATCACACGAAGAGCCTAAATGTCACGAGCCCTGCGATCTCTGTACGTGACCGCGTCACTCTTGCGCTATGTATACGTAAGTAGGCAAGTCATCTCGTATATACATGTTTATGTACCTGTTAATGTGCTTATATGTAGGTCTACACTATTATACCTATACGTGTCCATACGTATGTCTGAGAGTATTGACCAGAGTTTTAAATCTTATAGTCTACAAGGCACAGTTCCAAGCTCTGGAACTCTCAGCACAATCTCTCACTTTTCTAATAATGGCAAATATATAATATTCTTACTTCCTGATGCATTAAGCGTAACACACACACACACACACACACACACACACACACACACACGCACGCACACACACACACACACACACACACACACACACACACACACACACACACACACACACACACACACACACACACACACACAGAAAGAGAGTTACAGAGAAACAAAGACAGACAGAGAAAAGGAAAGGGGGAGGGGGAGGGCGAACTGAAGGGTGAGAGACAGACAAATGCATCTACAGTATGTTTGCATTACCTTAACCCCGCAGACCACGTTATCCCTGACACCCGCCGTCGCGACAGAGCATTCGATGGAGAACTCGTGTCTCGTGTAAGGAGACAGAGCGTTCTCCTGCTTCGCTGTCACCGTGATATTTCGACCACCTAGGACGAGCATGGGCGTAAAAGGGCGATTGGAATAGACCGCCACCATCTGGTTGCCTCCAGGCGTCAGGGGCACCACAACGCTTCCGCCGTCCACGCGCCAGGCGTACCAATCTGCAAAAGACTAGTCGTTACTCTGGATCACGTCATGACACATACACGCACACGCACACACACTCATACATACGCACGCACGCATGTACGCGCACATGTACGTATGTATATGCGTGCTTGCGTGCGCGTGAAATAATAAACGAAAGGAATGAAAGTTTTATATGTGTGTGTGTGTGTGTGTGTGTGTGTGTGTGTGTGTGTGTGTGTGTGTGTGTGTGTGTGTGTGTGTGTGTGTGTGTGTGTGTGTGCTAACGCCGACGGGGTCCACATCCACCCTTCGCTTCTAGCCACGGCGGTCCCTTATGACGAATCTCCAGGCAGGCCTTGGGCCCATCTCTGTAGCATCTCTTGCTACAAAAGGCATCAAGACAAGACTCCATGGCACTAGATAGAATCCAGGTTTTGATTCCATACAGCAAAACTGGCAGCAAGACATAGTTTGGTCCTTCTGCATAGGTTCCGACACTTTCAAATGCTCTTGTCGATCGAGTTCATGGCTCCTGCTGCCAGACCAATCCGTCTACTGCCTTCCTGGTCTAACAACCAAGAGACATGGACTACGCTACCAAGCTATGTAAAACTTTCTGTGAGTTCAATGTCCTCACCGCAAGCATGGATCAACTGAATGGGTATACTTTACTGGTCGTGCCACTGCCAGGTCTTTTCACCTCCAAGAGGGCAGCCAACCGCTTCATTTTCCTCAATAGTAGGCTAGGCTGCTACACCATCGCTTCACATCCCCCTGAGCATGAAGATATGTACATGAAGCACATTCTATATCTATAGAAACGAGAAAATCACGATTAAAACGAGAAAAAATTCAATATTTTTTTCTCTTTCTCTTTTTTGTAAGGACTTTTCAATAACTCGTCAAGTCGATTTACTTTTTGAATTTCAGTTTGTGATTTTTTTTTTGCCAATACTGCAGCAGAAACTTAAAAATTGGAGACCGAGTCTGTAGGATATTGAATAGTACTTCCAAGCAAAATAAACAGATTTCAAGGCAATCAGTGTGGTCTATGTTGCGGTCCTCTTGGCAATCATAAAAAAGCTGCCTGAAGCTTCCGTACTGCAGGATGGGCTGAATAGCTATAACAATTGGAAATCAAATGTTCATTCTTGTGTTCTATGTGAAAAAGTTATCACAAATGTGTGCTTCAGGATTGTTCAACCAGAGAACTTTTTGACATTTTTTTCGATCTGCATGTGGTTGTCCCAAGGTCATTGTGCATGGGGGTCATGGGGGACAGTTACTGATTTACTTACTGATTTAATTTATCTTTATCACGGACATCATACCATTTATTTCTATTCTTATCGATAGCTTGGTCACCTCCTTCGACCTGACCTCACTTTCCCCTTTTGCTTCCAGCCAGCAAAGTACGTGGATAGACCTACGCCTGTTGTTCACACCATAGGGTTAAGTGTAGCTTAGTTAAATTGCTTATTGATGACGTTCTATCGGCACTAGAACGGAGCTTGCAACGCGATTTTAGTACAACTTTATTATGAGTATAGTGGTATCTTACCCCTATTATAGTACCCATTAGATCTATGCTGACAATACGATAGTAGATAAAAAATAAAACTGAAGTTATTCATTCGACTGGCAACTTTTATTAGAGTTGGTGTGACCCATACATCCGTTCATTAATGTAGGATTAAGGTTTACGCTAGAATCCTTCTCACCCTCTAGAAGTCACTAGCATTGTGGCTATTGTGTGATTCCTATTGCTGGATACCTGTAGGGCATGTCACGGGCACCTATCACAGAATTGCAGAGTAAAGCGAGTTATTTGTGTATTTTCCTGTCTCGTTTCAGTTCACCTTTCATTCGGCATTTTGGGTATAAAGACCCCCGTCGATGAATTCTTATGTGATCTTACATGCATAGCTAGACACTGGCTAAGTCGGTATATCAGAATTTCGTGGATTGCATACTACATTTCTGACCCGGGAAGATTTCTTTGCGAGAAAGCTTGATTTTTTTCATGTCGCCATTCACTAATGCGTATATTCTGCCGCATGTCATTAAATATTGAATTCAATACGCTACTTGAAATAACTTTATATTAATATAATTGCTATTTTTTCGCATAGTTAAAGTGAACGTTCATCATTGTGTTTATGATTCAGAGTGACTAGTATATTATGCATAATTTCTTATATACATATATTTCTTTCTCCATGTGACAACAAATGATTCAAGTGAATTCTCGTGGATTGTCGTTTCCCTTATCTACTCTTGAATCTATCAGAGACGGTTTGTAGTTCAAGCCAGGTCCCTGCCTACATCTACTTCTTCCTTATTCTTTACCTTTGTGAAATAAAAACAATCACAAGAAACATTTAAATATGCAAATTTATATGAATACCGGCTTGTAACACTTAATGTCCCTCCCTCTCTGCTGCCTTTCTTATTCTCTTACTACCTTGGCCCTTATGTGTACGATCTGGTTCAGCAACTGATCATAGCAATTGGACCAAGGGTATCCAACACGGCACCGAAGGAGGAACCTGCTGCTGACACTTATTAAGCCACCCGAAAATGTAGTAGAATGGCACCACCTGCCGGACCCAGCGGAGGACCTAGAACTCGTTAGTGTAGGTAATAGTCGCTCAAGGATGCTGTGGAAGGGCGCCGCCTGCCTGGATACCCGCAGATCCAATCAGACTCCAGGAGCTCATCAAGTGCAGGTGTGTGTGTTTATATATATATATATATATATATATATATATATATATATATATATATATATATATATATTTATATATATATGTATATATATGCATATGTATATATGTATGTGTATATGTATATGTTTTTGTATATATGCATATGTATATATGTATGTGTATATGTATATGTATATATATATATATATATATATATATATATATATATATATATATGTATATATGTATATATATGTGTGTGTGTGTGTGTGTGTGTGTGTGTGTGTGTGTGTGTGTGTGTGTGTGTGTGTGTGTGTGTGTGTGTGTGTGTGTGTGTGTGTGTGTGTGTGTGTCTGTGTGTGTGTATGTATATGTATATGTATATGTATATGTATATGTATATATATGTATATGTGTGTGTATATATATACATATATTTATATATATATATATATATATATATATATATATATATATATATATATATATATATATCATGGTTAGGTCAGTAATAAGTGCTAAAAATTACGAGTGAAATGTGATCTGTGATACTGCTATGCTATGTGCATGTAAATGTGTATATCTATTTGCGCGCGTGTGTGTGTATATATATATATACATCTATAGTGTCTATATATGTATGTATGTGTATGTGCATGTATGTATGTGTATGTATATATGTATATGTGTGTATATATGTGCATGTGCAGGTGTATACATATATATGTGGGTGAACACTATGTGTACTCATAAACGTATGTGCGCAAATAAGTGTGCATAAGCTTGTGTATGGCTATATATATGTGTCTCTACGAATAATCATAAGTACGTGTACAAGATATGTGCGCAAGTGTGTATTCGCATATATGTCATATATGTGGGTGCGTTTACACATATGTATGCGCATATGATGTACGCATGTCTATATGTGTGTAAGCATGTGCAAGTGCATAGTTGTGTATAATATAGGAGTATCTCCGCATATCATATGCATAAGAGCATATGTAAAGGTGTATGCTTGCATGTGAACGAAAATGAATATATGCGTAGTACTTGGGGCATTTCCGGGTGAACAACTATGTCTGCACTTGGTGTACATACACACAAATGAAATAAGTGTACAAAATATAATCACACATATATGCACTTCTGATACTCAAGCCCATGTTCACGGGAGTATACCCTGGTGTAGTGAGCAGGCCTGTGCGTTTCTGCTCATACTAGATAGGGTCTAGGGGCTTATCAGTAGCTTCCCGGCTAAACTACTCCCCCTCCCACCAAAATACACCTAAGCAAGTAGGTGGGGGGTAACTCGGCTGTCTACCTCTCAATCAAAATCCGTGACTGCACAAACAGAGCAACGGCCCTCATTCCCCGGAGGCGAAGGAGCTCCTGGTTACAGTGGCAATCAGGATTGCTCCGGAGCAAAGGGTGCTAAAAATCTCCGGTTAAAGACAGGCCGCCCCACGCAGACAAACCTTTGCACATACAATATAAGGACTATGAGAAATGAATCTGACTTACCACCATTACTTGAAGAACTCTCTTTCATTAAATGGGATGTTGTAGGACTCTGTGAAGTTAGAAGACTTGGTGAAGACCAGAAAATACTAAAGGATGGACACACGCTCTATTGGTTAAGT